AAATGGAGGACTGAACCATGGTGGGCAGAGAGATTGTAACAGGAAGCAAAATTTACCTCACAACTGTCTCACTTAGTGATGGAAATGTTGGGCTCAGTTGTGGTTGTAAGTCGAGAACTGAATGACGGTGGGCAGAGAGATTGTAAAACGGAACAAAATTTACCTCACAAGTGTCTCGCAAATGGAAATGGGCTCAGTTGTGGTCGTAAGTGGAGGACTGAACCAAGGTGGGCAGAGAGATTGCAAAAGGAAGTAAAATTTACCTCACAACTGTCTCGCTTAGTAAAGGAAATATAGTGGGAATGCTGCAACGGTCATAAGTGTGAGGATTAGTGAACGTTTAGTACAACAGCAGCAAAAAAAATGAATTTGGATCGTTTTTCACACTTAATGACCGTTGGAGTATTCCCCAGGGTCAAAATTCAGACAATTGGAAACTGACTCGTCTTTATGACGTTTGCGGTGTCGCGCGGGGGTTCATGTGATCCCCTTTTGCGACCTGAGGAAGTCAATGGGGGAGGTTAGATTCACTTAACGACCGGGTGTCCAACTTTAACGTCTGCAGCGATTCGCTGTGGAAAGGTCATAAAATGAGACAAAAACTCAAAACGTCTCACTTAGTGACAGAATTTTTGGGCTCAATTCTGGTCGTAAGCCGAGGGCTGCCTGTATAGGGGGAATGCTGCAACGGTCGTGTGAGGACTGGCCAAAAATAACTTTTCTTCAGTGCTAGAAATTCGGTCACTAAACGAACTCGTCAGTTTGCCAAGCGTCTGAATTTTGATCATCTGACCATGAGGAACAGAAAACGGTCATAAGTGCAAATAACAGTCATAAGTCACTTCTTTCTGTGCTGTAACTTCGAGCAGTCACTAAGTGAACTCTTGTTAAGCCGAGGACTCCCCATAGCTCTCAATTGAGGACCTAACAGATCAAAATTGTCTAGTAGTCTCTTATACCGGCAGTCTTCAAATCTGAATTTTAATCACCCGATATCCAAGACGCTGTGACCGTCATAAATACAAGTCAGTTGCCGAGCTTCTTAATTTTGATCACGTGACCCTGGGACGCTGCGACTCTTGAAAATACGAATCGGATGCCAATAATCTGAATTTTAATCACCTGATATCCAGGACGCTAGGACCGTCGTAAACACGAGTCAGTTGCCAAACGTCTGAATTTGGATCACGTGACCCCGGGACGCTGCGACCGTTATAAATACGAATCGGTTGCCAAGTGTCTGAATTTTGATCACGACTCCGGGACGCTGCGACCGTCATAAAAACGAATTGGTTGCCAAGCGTCTGAATTTTGATCACGTGATCCCGGGACGCTGCGACCGTCATGAATATGAATCAATTGCCTAATGTCTGAATTATGATCCCTTGATCCCGGGGATGTTGCGAAGAACGGTGCCGAGTCCATTTTTCAGTACCGTTGAAACTCAGAATGGTCACTAAACCAGCGGTCGTTAAGGTGAGGACTTACCTGTTACTCGCCAGATTTCCAAGAGGTTGGACAAAGAGTTTGCACCCAGCCACGGATGGTCAAAGGCCGGGACAATCCTACCTTCCATTCTTGTCATCTTAACGAAGAGTTGATTTTATTTTAAAAGTATTTTAAAATCGTTGAAGGATCAGGTGAAGGATAAGCGTTTTTGGTTTTTTTTTAAAGAACCTCGGATGGAAGTTGAAAGTTAGCGCCGATTGGCTGAAGAATGTCTGAGCTCCCCTTTGGGAGCTTAGGGGGTTGGACTACATGACCACCAGGATCCCTTCCAGATTGGTTATTCTGTAAGGGTCTCCTGCTTGAGCAGGGGGTTGGACTAGACGACCTCTACGGCCCCTTCCAAGTGTTCTTCTGTAAGGTTCTCCTGTCTAAATAGGGGTTGGACTAGATGACCTCCAAGGTCCCCTCCAGCTCTTGTTATTCTGTCAGGGTCACCTGCTTGAGCAGGAAATTGGACTAGATGACCTCCAAGGTCCCTTCTAGCTCATTATTCTGTCAGGGTCTCTTGCCTGAACAAGGGGTTGGACTAGAAGACCTCCAAGGCCCCATCCAAGTGTTCTTCTGTAAGGTTCTCCTGTCTGAATAGGGGTCGGACTAGATGACCTCCAAGGTCCCGTCCAGCTCTTGTTATTCTGTCAGGGTAACCTGCTTGAGCAAGAAATTGGACTAGATGACCTCCAAGATCCCTTCTAGCTCATTATTCTGTCAGGGTCTCTTGCCTGAACAAGGGGTTGGACTAGAAGACCTCGAAGGCCCCATCCAAGTGTTCTTCTGTAAGGTTCTCCTGTCTGAATAGGGGTTGGACTAGATGACCTCCAAGGTCCCCTCCAGCTCTTGTTATTCTGTCAGGGTCTCCTGCTTGAGCAGGAAATTGGACTAGATGACCTCCAGGGTCCCTTCTAGCTCGTTATTCTGTCAGGGTCTCTTGCCTGAATAGGGAGTTGGAGTAGATGACCTCCACGGTCCCTTCCATCTGTTATTCTGTATGGGTCTCATGCTTGAACAGGGGATTGGAGTAGATGACCTCCAAGGTCCCTTCCAGCTCCATTCTGATGGACTTCCCACCCCGCCACACCCGAGGGCAAATTGTGATATTGTGATATTGTCCCCCCCCCTTCTCAAAACCACAGAATAAAAGGACACGGACGAGATGGGCGGGAAGGAGGGTCCGTCCTGACTCGGAAGGAAAATAGGGAAGGGGCTACATTTGGGTCGGTGGGCAGCACAGACAACAAGGGGAAAGCGAACGGGAGGGCCTAAACGGGAAACGAAGTACCGGTAGTCCTCGACTTACAACAGTTCGTTTAACGACGAAGTTAAAACAGCACGGGGGAAAAAAACCGACTGATGACCCTTTTCCACACTTACGACCGACGCAGCATCCCTAGGGTCACGTGATTTACATTCGGGTGCTTGACAACGGGTTCGCATTTGTGACGGTTGTAGCATCCCGGGGGGGGGGGGTGTCACGCCATCCCCTTTCGCAACCTTCCGACAAACCAAGTAAATGCCCAAAGCCGGTTTCGCTTAACGACCGGGTCGCTAATTTTAACAACGGCAACGATTCGCTTGGCAAACGTGGCAAGAAAAGTCGTAAAGCGGGACGAAACGCACTTAAGGAACGTCTCGCTTAGCAACGTCAATTCTGGGCTCGTTTGTGGTCATAAGTCGAGGACTACCCGTGGCTTATTTTTCCCCGGACAAAATCGACACAATTTAACTCTATTACCCGTCAATTCTTCTCTCCAGGGAAGCTGCGAGCTTAATTCGCAGACGGTTGGGATGCTTAAAATAAGAATGATAAACCTTCGTTAACAGTTTAAAAAGCTATTTTATTAGAAACCATGCAACTTTTAATAGATAATATTTATATATATAAAACAATCACGAGCGCGAGAATTCTCCGTGGGAAGGTGCGTACTGTGGACTACTTGACCCCACGGTGGTAGGAAACAGGATAGGGTTATTTTTTTAATTATTTTTACACAGTTCCCGTCCGACGCTTCCCGACGTAATCCTTCCCCCCCATCTTGCCTGCAGAATCCCCTTCTTGTTCCCCGCGGTTCGAAAGCAAAATTCTCCGAGACTCTCGTTTTTCAAGTTTTATTTACAATTCTGTTTAGTGTCGTTTGCAGTGTGGAAGACGGAACGCGGAAGGGGATCTCACCCGTGAGACTCAAAGCGGGAGGGATCCCCACTCCCATCCTGCACAGCCCAGCATCTCCGGACCTTCAAACACTTGCCTGTGACTTTCCCTACCTCTCCCTGCCCGAGTTCCTTGCAAACATTCCAATCCATCTCGGTGTGCCTTTGTGGTCGCAAAACTTTCCAGAACGGATACCCCGCAGCACGACTATACAGATCCCCAAACCTACTTGCAAACATTCCAACCTATCTCGGTGTGCCTTTGTGGTCGCAAAACTCTCCGGAACGGATATCCCTGTGACACGATTACCCAGATCCCTGGTGTCTGATCCTTTGGAATCCACCTGCAGAGGCAGAGGGAAACCCACCCGGGATTTGTGCAGGAAGGCTGACTTTCAATGGCCATCTCAAAGCTTTTGTCTGAAGCACGTTGGTGCAACGATCCAGCTCTACATCGCCTGTTTTCTCGTATGGCGCCCGTCTTTCCACCCGCCCGCCTGTCCACTTAGTCTCCACTGTCCCCCCAGGGGGCCTTTGAGTCCCCGGGCTCCGTCGTTCTCCAAATATTTTGAAACACACACGCAAAAGAACCACCACACCAAAGAAAAGAGAGAAAAAAAAGAGAAAACAAAACAACACGATTTAAAATGGTAGGATATGTGGATAACAAAGCCAACAGCGCTGCAACAGCAGATAATGGTGCGTTGTTGTTGTTTTTTAATTCTCCTATGGCAAGGGGAAGGTTGGTGCGGGCGAGCGGGGGGGGGAGAGAAGCATGAGCCGGTGGGGGAAGCCACAGGGACCACACTCGGCACAGCCACACCGCTCAGCTGGATCGCGAGGGGAAGAACGAGAAAATTAAAAGGTTATGGCATTGTTGCGGGGATGTACTAATCAGCATGGCGTTATGTGTGAGAGTAACAGGCCAGCACTAAACAGGGTGCAGAGGAGATCCGTGGGGTGGGAGGAAGCTGGAAAGAGAAGGGGGAAAAAGCTTGCCTCCTTTAACGCCCATCGGCCTTTGAATCCTTTCTCAGTGTCGCAAGCCGGGTTTCCCACGCAGCCCGCTGAGAAGAATCCAATGTTTGCGGGGTCAAAGCAAAATTCATACTATGCACTTTGAGCCCGGCATCCAAAGAAGCAAGGATGGAAATTCGTTCTGGGAGGCAAGAGGTAAGCAAGACCCCTTGCCCCAAAGATCGTCCCATCCGAGTTCAAAAGGATCAACTGAGCGACTGAATCCTCAGCGAAGCCCAGGAAGATGGGTGGCAAAGGATTAAGGGAGGCAAGCCGAGGGTCTGAGGGAGGTGGAGGGTTTGGGATGGGGAACAGGGCGGGAAAGCGAGTCACAAGCCTGGCCGAGAGAGTGGGGCAGAGGTCTCGTCTGCAAGGGGAGCCTGCCAGGGCAGCCGCGGGGGCGAAGAGGACACGGCAGCGGCGGCGTTGGCGGCGATGGTGCCCAGGCTCTCGCTGACGGAGGTGCTCAGTGGTGGGGAGGCGGGAGGGCTGCCGGCGCAGACTGCAAAATCCGCCCCGTGGTCCGTGCGAGCCTTGGCGTTCTCACGGAAGGTCAGCTTGTGCGATTCAATCTGCAGCGACACATTGGGAGGGGGCAGGAAAAAGGTGTGGGGGGGAGAGACAAGGGGACGGAAGGCGATACCAGAATGTCAGCGTTAAAGGCCTGGAAAATAAAAGGCAATTGAGCGCATTAACGACATTAGCAGAGGACAACAACACCCGCAAGCAAACATTCAGGGTTTACTTCCCCTCCCCAAGCCGGGGGAAAAAAATAATTCAATGGAGGGAGGGATGGAGGGCTCTCCCAGACTCCCTGCTAGCAGCTGCCGGTTCCCTGAGCACTTACTTGTCTCTTGTATGTGAGTGTTGAAGGACTGAATTTCCCTTTGGTCACCACCGCCCTGGGCAGGTGCAAGCGGCCCTGCGCCATTCTCCTGTGGGGCACTGCTGCCCGACGGGGGCCCTCCGTTCTCTGGGGCTGCCTCCTTGCCCCCCTCAGTCTAGAAGGAAAACAGTGGGGTGGGGAGGAAATGAGGGGTCACTACACAGAGGGAAGGGGATGGGATGTAAGGGAGGACGGCTGGAAGCGGATCCGGTCTCTCGGTGGAGGGTGTACGCCGACGAGAGTGGGAGGGGACAATTTCGGCGCAGCCACCACCTCGCCATGCCCAACTTGTCGCGGCAATTTTGCCACGTCTGGAAGCGGATCCGGTCTCTCTGTGGAGGGTGTACACCGAGAATGGGAGGGGACAATTTCGGCGCAGCCACCTCGCCACCGTGGCCATTTTGTCATGGCTATCTTGCCTAGATCGACTCGTCCACATGGGATAGGTAACGTGATAAATGTCATCTGCCAGTGTTTCTTTGACATGATTTCCACTGACAAAAATGGAAATCGTGTTGAGGAAACAGGGGTGGATAACACTCACAACACTGTCCCGTGGCGAGTTGGCCAAGGAGAGATGGTTGACATGAGATGGCTGCAGTGAGTTGTCCTAGTCCCAACAGGGTTGAACACGACCATTCTGAGCAGAAGATCATTCAGTCTTGGACAGAGAGAGGAGACCAGCAAGACCGATCCCTTTTGCTTCAATCTCGCCCAGGCTCGTTCTGAACAGAAGATCATTCAGTCTTGGCCAGAGAGAGGAGACCAGCAAGACCGATCCCTTTCGCTTCAATCTCGCCCAGGCTCGTTCTGAGCGGAAGATCATTCAATCTTGGCCAGAGAGAGGAGACCAGCAAGACCGATCCCTTTCGCTTCAATCTTGCCCAGGCTCATCTCTCCTGCTCAACTCCTCACCTCCTCTGTCCCGCACCCCAGCCCAACTATTGTACTCTTCTGCGATCTCCGGGACTGAGTTGACTGTGAAGTGAATATATGGGGAACACGGCGGCATGTGGGGAACAGTGGGGGGAGGGACAACAGACAGGCGATTGTTGAGGACGCTGGGATGGGACCTGTCCTGACCACCCCCCAACATTTTTATGAAGGCTGACCATGATTGAAGCTATCCAGGATGTAACTCTGTGACTATCGAGAATGCTCGTGGGAGGGATTTTTCAAGATGTAAGTCTCTCTGCTGAGGGGGAACTCGGTTGGTCTTTGCGGTGGTTATCAAGGATTGAAAACAACCTTAAGATAGTCCTCGGCTTACGGCCACAAAGGGGAGTGGAATTTTGTTCGCTAAAGAATGTGGTCATTAAACGAATCGTCCCGTGGCTGGACCCAGTTCTACAACCATTTTTACCGGGGCTGTTCAAAGAATCACATGACCGTTAAACGAATCAGGCGGTCGTTAAGCGAATCGCATGGTTATTAAGCAAATGCGGCTTCCCAAATTGGACCTCGCTTGTCAGACGTTAGCCGGGAAAGTCGCAAATCGTGACCGCGGGACGGCAAGACGCCGTATCCCTGGTAAATGGATTGCCAAGTTTGCACAGTTGCGACCAGGTGACTGACGGAGGGGGTGCCGTGACAGTCGTAACTTCGAGGAGGGGTTCTACGTCCTTCCCCCCCCCCAGGTTGTTATAACTGTTTATGGATTGGTTGAACTGATTTTAATCCCACCTCTTGTAACAAAACCAAACTGTTATTACACAAACGGTCGTTAAGTCAAGGACTATCCTTTCTCGTGACATTTGGCGAGATGTCCTTCTCGGGTGGAAGGATAGAATGGGGGCGGGTTCAAGCTCCACAGGCTGATGACGTGCCAAGCAGAGGTCGAGCAGCGAGTTAAGGCTGCTTATTCTGTTCTAATTCCATTCCATTCTATTTCTATTCTCTATTCCATTCCATCTATTGTATTGTATTCTAATTCCATTCCATTCTGTTTCTATTCTATTGTCTATTCTATTCTATTCTGTTCTAATTTCATTATTTCTATTCTCTATTCCATTGCTTGCATTGTATTGTATTCTAATTCCATTCCATTTCTATTCTATTCTATTGTATATTCTATTCTGTTCTAATTCCATTCCATTCCATTTATTGCATTGCATTGTATTGTATTTTGTTCTATTTTCTATTCTATTCTATTCTATTCCATTTTCTATTCTATTCCATTCTATTCCATTTCCTATTCTATTCTATTCCATTTTCTATTCTATTCCATTCTATTCTACTCTACTCTATTCCATTTTCTATTCTATTCTATACTCTATTCTATTCTATTCCATTTTCTATTCTATTCTATTCCATTTTCTATTCTATTCTACTCTACTCTATTCTATTCCATTTTCTATTCTATTCTATTCTATTCTATTGTCTATTCTATTCTAATTCTATTCCATTCCAATTCCTATTCTACTCCATTCCATTCCATTTTCTATTCCATTTTCTATTCTATTCTATTCTATTCTATTCTATTCTATTCTATTCTATTAAGTTCTCTATTCTATTCTATTCTATTCTATTCTAATTATGTTCTCTATTCTATTCTATATTATGTATTCCTATTCTATTCTATTCTATTCTATTCCATTCCATTTTCTATTCCATTTTCTATTCTATTCTATTCTATTCTATTAAGTTCTCTATTCTATTCTATTCTATTCTATTCTATTCTATTCTATTCTAATTATGTTCTCTATTCTATTCTATATTATGTATTTCTATTCTATTCTATTCCATTCCATTCCATTTTCTATTCTATTTTCTATTCCATTTTCTATTCTATTCTATTCTATTCTTTCATTCCATCTATTCTGTCCTGTTCTAATTCTATTCCTATGTCTATTCTTTCTATTTCTATTTCATTCCATCTGTTCTGTTCTGTTCTGTCCTATCCCATATCCTATCCTTTTCTATCCTCACATCAAGGCTATCAAGAGGAAGGACGGATGTGAGCGGAGGACAGCTCATGGCGGGAGAAGGTACACCTAATATCTTGCTCCTCGGTTCCTCCTGCTCGTTACCTCGTTATCCTCGAGGGTCCGCCATACTTAGCAAGCCCTCCGTGTAGTTCCCACCCAGGTGTGCTCCAGAGATTTGGTTCAACACCCTTCTTGAACGGGGGGGGGCCCACTCAGAACCTCTCGGTTCATTCGCGGCGAGGAAGCCGTGAGGAACCTCAACGGGTGAAGGCCCCACACATACCTTCACGGTGCCTCCCGCTGGCACATGCCCGACATTGTCCAGAGAGCCCACCTTAGCTTGGGCCTTCTCCTTGAAGTTCAACTTCTGGTTCTCGATCTTCACGTCGCCTCCGCCTGGAAGAAAAAGGGAAAGTCACTCTCGCCAAAGGTCCATCAACGGGACCACCAGCTTGGTGAACAGCCTTGTTGTCACCGATCCAAATCGCTCAGCTGGGCGGGGACGATGGGTATGAACGGTCCGTGAAGGACATCCGGGTGAAGGTCCCGTCCCATCTTTGAGGTCTTCTCCAGGGAGGGGTCCAAGTAGGATCTCCACCACCCGTCTCGTTCGAGCGAGGTCACCAGACAAAATGGGCAACACATCGTTATATATAGACTTATATATAATCAGAATTCCCAGAATTCCCATCGTTAAGCCGTAAGCTGGACCTGATCTTGCGACAATGTCTACAATGGTCACTAAGCGAATCACCACTCGTTAAGCGAGCGCCGTGGGCACGCATGAGCACCCACCGCTCATGTGAGCGAGGCCGCGAGCGGCTGTAGGGCGAGTGCGAGTGCGGCTGTGAGCACCAGTGACACTTGCCGAGTGGGACCGGGAGTGCTTGCGATGCTTGCGTGAGCGTGTGCGAGTCAGGCCTTGAGCCCCCACAGAGCTCGTGCGAGTCGGGCCTTGAGCTCCCACGGAGCTTGTGCGAGTCGGGCCTTGAGCCCCCACGGAGCTCGTGCGAGTCGGGCCTTGAGCCCCCGCGTAGCTCGTGCGAGTCGGGCCTTGAGCCCCCGCAACGCTCGAGCGAGTCGGGCCTTGAGCCCCTGCGGAGCTCGTGCGAGTCGGACCTTGAGCCCCTGCGGAGCTCGTGTGAGTTGGGCCTTGAGCCCCCGCAACGCTCAAGCGAGTTGGGCTTTGAGTCCCCGCGGAGCTCCACAAGTTGGGCCTTGAGTCCCCGCGACGCTCGAGCGAGTTGGGCCTTGAGCCCCCGCGGAGCTTGTGCGAGTCAGGCCTGGAGCCCCCGCGACACTCGAGCGAGTTGGGCCTGGAGCCCCCGCAACGCTCCAGAGAGTTGGGCCTTGAGCCCCCGCGACGCTCGCCAGCCAGCCCATCATGGGGCACCCATGACGCTCGTGCGAGTATACCGGTTGTGAGGAAGGAGGATGGTGGCTTGAAGGCCCGCATTGTTCCTCCGCGTCTCTCACCCAGCCTCCATTCACGCCACCCTGGGCTAACGCTCCAGGAAGAAGCCGAGGTCAACCCCGTCACGTAGCCCACCTCCCTTCGCGACCACCTTACTCCTGCCTCTCACCTGGCTTATGTTTGATGTTGGTCTTCGACCCGCACTTGGAAGCCACTTTGGACAGATCAATCTTCTTGTTCAGGATCTGCACCTGCAGATGAGGAGAAGGAGAGAGAGAGGGAAAACTGAAGGAGAAGCCAAGGCCAGGGACTTCCAGAGGTTCTCCAGATGTTTCCAGGGGCGAAGAGTTCCCACCAGGGTCCCAAGCTGTTCTTCTGGGAAGATGGCAAGAGACATCGGGCTCTCCTGCGGCACGGAGACTGGGCCGTGCTGGGGGGGACCTCTCCAAAGAGT